CTTTTTGAGTTACCCACCAAAACAAACAAAGCGTGTAGAGGTAATACAACAGAAGTCCTGAGGTAAACCCGAGACTCTTGTGCCACCCGACGTCCGCCATCGTGCACTATTGCCGAGCCGCGACCAGTGCCCAGTCGTGACCCACGACGACCGGCGACCGCAGCTTGTCCGCGATGAGCCCAGCTGTGATCTCACGACACGCCAGCCCCATTGACCGCAACCCACGCGCCACCACAACCGAGCCAGTAATTCCCTCGGTTGACAAAATTCTAATTCCAGTAATTGTTTGAGAGGTTCTTACGATCTCCATCAATGGAAATCGAAAATGTCTCAAAATCTGCAAAAAAAATTAAGTCATGAATGTTCAATACTTACTTCATCCGCTGCACTTTGGGCTTATTTCATAGACATAAATACGTGATTTACATGAAATAAGACATTTCTCATAGAACCCCAACAGCTCCTTGGTGAGCCATTTTTAGAACGGCTTTCACCTTATCTGGGTTCACCTCTATACCTCTCTCCATCACAATGTATCCGTAAAAATTTTCCTACTTTTACCCCAAAGGCACACGTTGCTGGATTGAGTCTCACTTCTATCTCCGCAATGTATTAAACGCTTTTCTCAAGTCACTGAAATGAGTTGCGGTCTTCCTACTCTTCACTAGCATATCTGTCAGCCACTGGTAGGTTGCTCCACCGCTTTTGAGTTCAAAATGCATCACTATGTAACAATATGTTCCTCTTTTGGCAATGAAGTTAACCTTGCTCTAGTCCTTAGGTGCGAGCGGTATTTGATGATATCCTTACGACGCATCCATCATACTCATTAGCTCGCAGCTCACAATTGAATCGACCAATTTGTCTATCCTTGGCAAAAAGTAATGATCCTTAGGTAAGCTAGGTTTAAATCTATGAAATCTATATACATCACCATTTGAAGGCAATCTAGGTTCAGGTCTTTGAAATCTATACACGTTCGCCATTTGTCATTGCTCTTATTTACCGTATTTGATATCCATTCAGGGAAGTGAATCTGTTTTATATGCCCAGGTCGCAATAATTTTTCCACTTTCTCATTAATAACCTTGTACAATTTGGCTTCATGATGTCGACATTGCTGGTTTATCAGCTTTCTGTGTTGGTTGACAGTAAGTCGATGTTCCATTACCTCAAATTCAATCTCCATTAGCTCTTTCGTAGTAAAAGCGAAAATATCGCGTTATTCTTGAGTAGCTAGACCACTTGTTCCTTAAAATTCTATTTTATTTCTTTTCTTATTTAGAATCATTTAGTCGGGGGTCTCTCCAATATGGATCTCCACTAATTCTCCATGAGACTCTAGGTCATTGTCCCTCTCCCTTTTATCTCTAGTTACATGTCGATTTTCTTCTTTTATCTCTGCTCGTTTGTTGGCTTGCACTGCCATTTGGTAGCAATTTTGTGATAGCTTTTACTCTCCTCTGACCTCTCCCACATGTTCTCCAATTAGAAATCTTAGCTTCATATGATAGGTCAACAATACAACTTGGAACGCATTGCATGCAGGTCTACCTAGGATCACATGATGGGTCAAGTCGACGTCTACAACCAAAAATCTCACCATCTTACCTTTCTCAAATTTTCTCTACCCAATACCACATGTAGAGTCACTTTTCCTATAGGGGCTACCTCCGAGCAATTAAAACTGTATAGCGTTGTATTAACTACTTTCAGCACGACTTTCAGTTCCATCTGTTTGAAGCAGTTGTACAAGATCACATCCACCAAACCACTTGTATCGATGGAAACTTATTGGACTTCATACCCGACGACCTCCGCCATTACCACTAGAGCATCATTATGCGGCATCTCGACCTCTTTCGTGTCGACTAGTCCAGAATTCACTATAGGTCCATTCACAACGACCTGATTTACCTATACTATTTGGCTCTTGGTGTATGCATTTCTTGTATGTTAGAGTCCCTGACAGTGGGGCCACTAGAAATCATGTGAATCACTCCTTTCTTTGGTAGGATCTTGTCCCTTTCAGCTGGCGAACTGGGTATCTTATTCATCTCCTCTCTACGACCTTGTCCTCTCTCTCTATCCTTATAAATGAATTCCTTTAAATGTTCAGCTCTTATCAACCGTTTGATTTCATTCTCTAAATGTCTACAGTCATCCGTGGTATGACCATAATCCTTTTGAAAATGGCAGTACAAATTACTCTTAGGTCGAGTAAGCCCATCTTTCCGTCTTGGGCCAAGTCACCAGACCCTCGCGCACATTTCTTTCTATTACCTCCAATAGTCGAACCTAATTAGTCGAGAGGGACATGTAGTTCTCATAGCTCTGGCCATCTTTCAGAGGTCTACCTTCTCATTGATCAAATCTTCTTTGGTCCCTCATGTCACTTCAATCTCTCTGCGGATTGTTTCTTTTATTCTTTCTTTCTTCTCGTGCTTTTGATTTGGTCGGCTTCGCGGCCTGCAAGAAGTCAGTTGTTACCTCTTCCGCATTCATATACTTTGTGCATCTTTCTAAGACATCATCAAACATCCCTCTGGGATTTTTGGCCAACAAATCTCTGCACAAGCCAAGTCTCAATCCTCTTCTCAATCCCCACAGATGTTGAGGGCCCATCTACGCAAGCTCTAGTGTAACGAGCTATGTAGTCCCTTAACGACTCATTTTCCTTCCACTGCATTCCTATTAAAGTAAAAAAGGTCTTCTCATGCACTTTTGCACTTGTAAACTGATTGGAAAAACTTGATCTAAATGACTCAAAATCATCCTGGGGGAAGTTGATGGAACCAACCCTGAGTGGGTTCCTTGTATGTAGCCTAGAACCCTGTGTACCGGGCTGGGTCTCTTTACCTGTGTAGCACAGTCATATTCTCCAAACTTTTGAGATGCCTAGTTGAATATTTAGACCCATCATACACTAGGTTGATCTCCCAAAACCCATGGGAAAGATCGACATCTAGAATTTCTCTCGAGAAAGAATGACCGCTAGCGCCAACTTCATTTCTTCCTTTGACTTTAGCATGCAGATTGAAAATTTGAGTTGTTAATTTTTCTGTTGCATCTTCTCTAGTCGGTTGTGTGTAGGTCGTTGTATTCATTGATAACATCTCATCCACTCTTTTCTTATAGATAGTATCATGTGAGCTATTAGGACATGTATTTTGAGCTTGATCCGTCTTTTTAGCTACTGCTTCTGCAATCATCTTTTGTAATTCAGCTCTCGTGAGAGTCACCATTTGCTCCTCAGATCACTGATCTTTGGGAGAGACCTCATTATCCCTCCCACTTCTTTGTCCTCCCTCAACTTACTTCCCTCTACTGTCCATGCCTTCGAGACTCTTCTGTCCTTCGCCAGTGGTAGTCATCCGCAAAGCTCCACTTGTTCCAGTTGACACTAATAATTGGTTTTTTCCCTCTACAGGTGTTGATAGCTCCTCTGGGCGGAGACCAAACGGCAGTGCATGGATACTCAACATCGCCAATCCCAACATAGAGATACATGGTTTTGGACTAGATGCTAAAGGAGGGCTCTTGTCAGTCCAAACTTCCCTAAAATCCTCATTCATGTTTCTCTATACTATATATTTGTCAGCCATCTCGGGTGATCAAAATCTTGTGAAAGAGCTCTTAGTTCCTTCAAAAGCTCCCCACAAACGGGTCTAGGTTGAGCTGGCTGGCTAAAAGCTCTGACTACGTGAACCGCTAAAGATGACCTGCAAAAGGGGTCAGGAGGGTCTTCGTGCTTTAGCACTCTGACGCCCAAGCAAGTACGAGGAAAGAAGATGATTATAAGCTCTGTAAGTAGAGAAGTGTAAAGAGTGTGTAGTTCATTTACAATTGTACCTCATCCTCTTTTATAGAAGAATACCTGCCTGGAATGATTTGCCCGTACTACCCGAATGCATGCGGTTTGTCTTCCCGAATTTGATCTTATCAGCTTAGTACTTAGCCTCATCCTAATCACATCCTAATCATCATTAGATTCTTTTTATCCACATTAGATTGCTTCTTACCCCCGTGAGTCTGTTTATTTAGGTCTTCTTTGATTGTTAGATCGTCATGACCATCTTAAGTCATCTGGCCCAAATTACATTCAGCCCTCAGTCAAGTTAACTTATATTCATTAGGTCGTTCTCTTCTCCATTTCATTTATATTAGTCCATAGATCGTCGAGAGGGTTTCTAGATCATCCAAGGGCGTTTAGGTTGTTCGGCTCTTTAGGTCGTCACTTTCACAATCTCATTAAATGATCCTGTTAAGGTCGTCTGATCGACCTACATGTAGTTAGTTTATTTTGGTTTGCCCAATTAGGGCTATATCAGCTTCTTTTATTTTTTACTTATTCTTATGAACTTATTAAACTAAGATGAAAGTTGTTCATTATGACATTTGACAGAAAAATGGTTTAAGTACTTTCGAGAAAAGAACATAGCCCAAGACTGCGAAAATAAAATTAAATAGTCAAGGAATGAGTCGTGGGCTAGATTTAAACTAGAAGCCACCTCGATGTGCGGTGCGTGATAGTGTGGAGTCGGACCAAGCCACAAGCAAGGTCTTGATGGACACAATGTCCAGTGGTTGGCGGTCCAACGTGAGTCCTAGTAGCCGGCTAGTCCCACACAAGTCCAGCTCCATCAAGCATAGGTCCATGATTTTCAATCGTACCAAGATTTTCTACGAGGGTCATTTCAAACTTCCCAAGACTAAGATGTGATTTTGGATAGTTTGAGTTTTCCCTTAAGATTCTCAACATGTTCGGCTTCCCATTAACGTCCCAAGGGTTGAGCTATGAAACGACTTAAACTTCTAAAGTCGCATTAAAATAGTTTTAACCTTGGTCTAAAAAACTAGTAGACTACAAAAAAATGTCTCAAGTCGAACATAAAAACTGTTTCGGAGCATGAGTTATGTACAACATTTCCATTGAATACATAATGTAAATTTGTTGCTACAAATCCGTAAAAAAAATGAGTGAAACCAGGTTTCAGACATTAGCTTGTCTCTATGAGAACTCCCAAATTAGCAAGTTCTTTACGTAGTAACTCCACATTCTTGTATTGAATACCATTGAAACCAACATCAATTGCAGCCTCAACATTTCTCATCCTGGACCAGTTAAATATGAT